ACTCTGAGATTAAAGCGGCCTTCCCGAGGACAGTTAGGAGCACAATGAGATACAGTGCCGTTCCCCAGAACCAGTGCCCCGAGTCAAGCCCGGTCGCTTGTTTCAGGTCACCCCAAAAGATGATGACGGAGAACCCAAAGAGGATCTACACCGGGACCTGACGTAAGGAAGGTTCGCACGAATTTTCAGTACACCTACCAAACTGTGATACAGCGCATTAGCGATCCACAACCAGAACACACTCTTCGTGAAGAACACGTTCCGCTGGCCCAGCATGTACAACTGCGGGTATCGGTCCAAGACCCGTGCAGACACAAACTGATCAAAAATACCGATGACAAAAGGCGGAAGGACAGTAAACAAGACGTTGAAGAATGTGATTGTCCAAGATTCGTAGGCAATCTGACCAGAGAAATTGTTGAAGAACGAGTACTAAAGGGGGAGTCAGCGCCTCAATCTCGAATTTAAATGCCCTAGAAACACACCCAAAATTGAGTCATGTAGAGGGTGATATTCTTGTAGAATGAGTCTAGTAATAAAAGGCGACGAGCCTTAGTACATCGTTCGAAGACGTTTGTCAAGAGAAGACGAACACAATATAAGTTTGGATAACCGCTGATAACTCCAAGCTCCATGGACGAGTAGGAGCTTCTTAAGGTAACGAAACTGCGATATCGCAACATCAGCAGATCGGGCAGCTTGGAGACCCTACAACCAGAACAATTCACTGTTGAGTATCGTACACAAGCTACACGACGTACCTCGAGTCCTGATATACCTATTCCAACGTGTGCGGCCTGAATCATGCTCACATCGTTGGCACCATCACCTATTGCAAGTAGAATCGAGTCTTGGTTCTTCTTCACTAGTTTCACGACAAGGGCTTTCTGAAGGGGAGAAACACGGCCTTCCTGGAGTGGTCAGCTACAGAACCATCGCGATCTTTTGATGTGCCATACAGCAAATAACGGCCTTGCAAAGCAGCGCAAGTTCAAGGAAGGACTTCGATAACTCTTTTTGGAGGGCAAAACCGAGGCTCTTTCCATCTGCAACCAAGGTATAGGAGACAACAAATGCAAGCATTGGAAAGTGGCCCACCGATGATAAGCGCAAGATCCTCCGGTTCTCCGGTACTCCGTTGGTTTTTAATGGCTGAAAGTCGCTTGGAGATGAATTCGCTGGTATCGTGGGATGTTTCCTCGTTCACGATGACCTTCACAAGGCCCTCAATTTCAGCAACGCAGGAAGTGGTTCGCCGACTCACCAAATTCATGGACTCTGCGATTAGTCTACAGGACATACCAATGTTTATTGCTGTCTCTTGCCGATCGCCTGTTAGTACCCAAACCTTCATATTCCGACTAAGAACACTCCTGGGTCAATGATCTATCGCTGGCGTACCTTGATTCCTGCCATCTGTAACGTGTGGATAGTATCTGGGACGCCTTCCTGAAGTTTATCTTCAATTGCCGTCGCGCCAAGTAAGACGAGGTCTTTCTCAATAAGTTCTGCTGCCTTGTCGAGTGCTTCGGAGCGCCCGCTGAGTGTTGCAGCGGCTTGGTCGTATATCGTCGACCACTGGCGATACTCGGCTTCAGGGACGTCGCGATAGGCTATACAAAGCGTACGCAACCCTTCTGTTGCATAGTCCTTTCAAAAGAGATATATCGAAGGGAACTGTATGAAGCAAAGAGTTGCCAAACGGACTCCTTACCTCAAGATGCGATAGCGTTTTTTCAGTGAATGTTTGGTGCTTCCCAAGACGTTCAAGGATTACCGTGTCGGCGCCTTTGCAGTACAATTTGATCTTGCCGTCGGGTGTGCGAACAACGGTTGACATGCGTTTTCGCGATGAGTTGAACTCGCATACATTCAAAATCTCATATTCGACGGGGGAGCCACGAACGCGGATAAAGGCGGAGCGTGGTTTGCGAGTCTAATGGCCCACTCACGGACGATTGTTGGGGAGCGGTTTTCGTCAGCCAGAGCTTGTAAAAAACAGAGAAACGGAGTCCTTACATGGAATTGATACTCCAGAAGCTCCGCTCCAGCCACGAGGGCTGCTTCATCGGGACTACTTGCCTGGTAGTGAATCTTGCCATCTCGCACTTCAGGTATCACGGTATGGCAAACTGCCAAGAGAGTCATAAATTCGTGGGCCACTGCTGTTGCACGCTCGTGCTCTTGTTCGCCGCCGGTTGCAGAAGGTTCCATGTCGCTCCTCCCACTAGAACCCTCCAACAACGCACGAAGATCTGCGAATGTCCTCCATATTTCTCTTCCGTCTTCCTCGCTTGCGCGCCCGGGATCTACCTCCTCGGCATATGCCACTCCCCCGATACTGGCCGCCCGAAACACCATTTCGTTCCTAGTCAATGTTCCTGTCTTGTCTGCAAATACGAACTCGACACGTCCGAGGTCCTCCACCAGTGAGGACGTTCTCACGACAGCCGGTGTGTCGCGCACCTCGTAGTACATGTCAAGGTCGGCGCTGATGAGTGCAGCATGCTGGAGTCTCACAACCTCAGTTGTAACAATGAGGGATATCGGAATGAGGTTGTTGTAAAGGATGATAAACGTGAGAATATCTTGGACGTCAATATGAAGATTGCAATGGAAGAAATTGAAGTGTCAGCATGTTCGCCACACGGCATATAGAGGAGCTTACCTTCGGCAAAAGCCTTGGCTACGAAAAATTAGCACGGGGATAGGAGTACTGATGATGTTGCACACCTCGACCGGTAAATGAGGTGGTCTGGAACAGATACCATTGTTGACTCGATAGAAACCACTACCAACAGCGAGTGTTGCGGTTGCGTCAGTAGAAGAAATATGCGTAGCATTCAGGAATTATTCTCACAGTGTTTATGGAAGCACCGATTGTTGAACCGATCGAAAGCGCGAGGAGGAAGGCAAACAAGAAGATAATATGCACGTTGACCTGCTTTTCTACGGCTGTACGCTTGATAGGGGCAGCGCTATCGGGCAGCAAGCACGAGTGCACATCAGCAAGACCACCACACCTCAACTTCTTCAGGACTCACGTTGCGTTACGCATCAACTTTGTTTCATGACCAGTGAAAACGACCAGCCCATAAACCCAAGGCGTATTACGAAGCTGTGCTCCTCGAAGCAAGAGCTGGTCTGGACCTAGTGGGACCTGCTTTGGCATGCCGGCGTCCGTCACGAGGTCAAGAGTTCCTTCGTACGTGTAAAGCGAATTGTTGGGTTGTTCAGAGCGCAGGGAACCATGAAGACCACCAACGAGCGTGGGAGAAGTAAGAGAAGACGTTTGGGGTGAGGCCTGCTTAATTTTAAGGTTTGTCTCTCTTGGTAAGAATGAGTGACCAGATTGATAGAGACATAAGCACTAGATCATACCCGTCGAGATTGGAGGTCTCGATATAACAGAGACCCTCGGGTTCCGAAGAAGAAATGAGAACGAGATCAGCGGGAATGAACTCGTCGGATTCGACCCTGACGATGTCGCCCACCCGAATGTCCCTCCACGGACGCGGGTCAAACCCTAAAGATTCATTCAAGACCTTGGCGACACGAGCGTTGAGTTCAGAATCCGAACGATGGCGTTTCTGGGAAAATGTTAAGATCAATATTTCTGGTAACGAAGAAGGCACAAACCATGTCCTCCTGTACTTCCTTGAAAGCAGAGGCAAGGAGCACGACAGCTAATGGGGCGATAGTAGTATACTGGTTGGTCGGAGAGACACCAGGTATTTGTTGTATACAGGCGGTAAACAAGAAGAACACGTTTGCATACTTGGAGAATTGCTCTGCGTATGGCGTAAGCAAATGCGAATCGGACCAAGAACTCAAACCCACCTTTGAGAAACTTTAGGGTGAATGTAGCGACATTATACTTGCTTGTCGACACGAAATTCGAGCAAAACTCGATATTCATAGCAGAATTGTTGAGGACAATTACACGTTCGCCGGCAGGTTGTACCTCCTTCTCCCAAGGCCATCTCCACTTCCACTTCTTTCGCCTGCGAACCGTATGTTTCCTCTGGGTCGGCGGTGCCCCTGGAAATGTCGCGCTTCCCGGAAAGGTAGCTTGACTCTCGAAATTCCAACCGTGTGGTTGCCCAGAACCGTGGGTGGATAGCGAGGGGGACGGCGAGTCTAACCCAGCGGGTGGGGCAGCTGCATGGGTGAGAGGAAGGCCGCTTTCCTGGGACTGCATTGGACGTGGGGTGGTGACCGGAGACAAGTCCAGAAGATCTTCGTCATCATCGAAGAAAGGATCCATCAAACTGGGCGCGGGTTGAGGCTGGGACTGTGTATTTGCGAATGGTGGATAAGTAGGAGGATGGTGACTGCTTGAACCTTGAGGTAGCGAGGCGGACTTGTAGGCTGCAGGGTTAGCAGTGTTGACCAAGGCGACGAAAGATTCCTCGCTGTCCATGGTAAAGTTGACGTGTCCCCGGGCGGACTGCAATCGAGATAGACAGTGTAGGATGCACTTTGGCGACAAGTCACCAAGAATTGACCGAGTGCGAGCTGCGCAAGTCGTTGCTAAATTGCTAATACCGTACGCGCCACCTCACAGCAACATACATTACATACTACACAATCTCAGTACTGTAGTTTCATTGGTACTTCAGCCCCAGGTATTTCTGTGGACCAATTTATTATTCATACGCAGGCTGTTGACGTCGTTTACTCTACCCATGAAAGGGGACGTACTGCTTTGCCCTTTCTCGTCCAGGCTCACGCAGTCGACTCGGCCCCTGTCAGTCCTTTCTAGACTATCTTCCAGTACTTACCTTTTCGTTTTTCCTCTCACTCAGCCAGTCGCCGTTTCCCAATTGACCCTATAGCCTTTTGCTAAGTATCTCCTTACACTTGTCTTTTGTGTTTGCTCTCAGCGAGTCCCACAATTTTCTTCGGCTTGTGTGTTGTCAGCACTCACCCTGACGCCAGCGACGAGTACTACGACGGCTATACCGCAATAATATACATACAGGGCTGATTTCTCGAGCGGTTTTGTAGTGTAGTGGTTATCACTCGGGATTTTGACTCGGTGCACTCTTTCCCGAAACCCAGGTTCGAACCCTGGCAAAACCTACCTTTTTGTGGGACGCGCCAACACTGCAAAGCTACATACTTCAGTCAATTTCCTTCGCTTGACACTCGAAGCAAGCCTTGGAAATTATCCCCCGGGGATTACGTCGGCCTGTGTCTACCCCACAATCTTGGCGGTTTAGCTGGTCTGGCCCAGCAGCACATGTGCGATTGGAATCACGACAGAAACTGCCGGTTTGCAAGACACGCCTGTACACCAGTCTAGGAGCTAACTTCCCGCGCAAGGCATTCCGTCGTATACTTACAATGTCGTCCGACTCTTCTGTTGGCATCTACGACGTTCCATGCTTCACTTGTACATTGTAGATGGTGGCCTACTCTACGGACTCAAATAGGCGAGCCTCAGGAGAGAGACCGTATACATGAGTCTACTCGACGGCTTGCACACCGTCGTATGCCTTAAGGCGCGTACATGCGTCTTCCCAAGTGAGTGTTCCCTGGACCAAATCTGTTACTACCGCGATGACGTCGTCGATAGAACCTATGAGTTGGTCGGTCGTATCGCGTTCACTGTCATCGAAAGACAAATATGTTAATGGCGTGCCGTGGAGGAAATCCATATATGACTCACCGGAGTGTCATCGTCCGGTTTTGAAGTGCTGCAAGTTTTACTGTTAAGTCGGCATGCGTTCTTTCAGTGACAGGCCACTTACAGGCGAAATCGAGCGTGACACCAAATGGTGTGCCAAGCTCATCATTGCGGGCATACCGTTTTCCGATTGAGGTATTGGAATCGTCGACGCGGGAGAATATACCACCTCTGCGGAGCTTCGTAGCTGGATCTTATGTGAGCGCAGGCTAGGCGCGAAGTTGACGAAGTACGCACAGACTTCCGCAATAAGTGGGTCGAATTCTTCTTTCGCACTCAGAGGTACTATGAGAACTTTTGTCGGCGCAACTAGAGGGGGCAGCGAGAGAACCTGCATGTACGTTGTGCATCAGGGCGATCGCAAGAACAACGTGTGAACCCTTACACCACGTTCGACATCTTGTTCCCTGCACCAAAAAGAATGCTCAAGAAGCGAATATAGAATCCGTCCAAAGCCAAACGAGGGCTCGATAACGTTTGGAGTGAATTCGCGGACTTCAAGCATATTCGGATCTGACAGGGGGAAGAACGGCTAGAAAAAACTCACTAGATTGTTTAAACGTCCTTCGTTCTATTGTGAGTAGCTGAGGAGTGAGAATGATTTGTCTCTCGTCCGCAAATATCGTCGTTGACCTGTCCACGGACAAGAAAGAAGGATATGGTGTCTAGCAGATTAGGAAAAATACGATTCGCTAATGAAGCTCACCCCTGGGATAACTCTCCTTTTAACCTGACGAGCTCTTCTTGACTCATCTCCCCAACCACACGTTGTACTAGGCCAGCATCTCGACCAAGCGTCTTTCCGAGAGTTTTTTTGTTGAACTCGGGTACCTCTCGCTCAGTAACTATTGGCTCTTTGAGGGCTTGACGGACAACCAGTGGGTGCCCAGTGCGCGCCGAATGAACTGAAAGATCGTAAGCAGCGCGGTCGGCACAGCCGACGCACTCTGTCCAGCCGGAAGAATTCTCGATTTCGGCGTCCCAGCAATCTGTTGCATAGTGTGCCATCTCGTTCGCCATGTGCTGCCTGAATCTTAGTCTTCGCGGGTCGATGCCAATCTTGAGCAAGAAGAGGTGGATACGGGCAAGGAAATAGCCTAGAGTTTCGTTAGCTACGATGCCCCTGTCGACAGCTTCACCGATGGACATTTGGGTCACTTGGACGGACCCAGATAGCTGTACGGAGCGGTCGAGGAGGGGGAGTACGATGTGGCAAATATCACCGAATCGGACATGGCCTTTGCTGTCAGGATCGACGTAGTGTTCGATCTCGCCCATAGTGAACTCGCGCACTCGAAGGAGACCGGCACGCGGAGAGATTTCGTTCCTGAATGACCTCCCAATCTGGGCGGATGCGAAAGGAACTCGGCCGTTGTTGAATTCGAGCAAGCGCGAAAAGTTGAGAAAGTGACCCTGTGCAGTTTCCGGGCGGAGGAAGCTGAGAAGGAGCCATTAACGGTGGGGTAAAAGGAGATCGCGAGGCCATACCCGGGATGTTGGCCAGTGGGACCGATGCTACTTGCGAACATCAGATTGAACTGCTGGGGTTCGCCGACCTGGTTTCCGGTGTCCGGGTTGCGGATATCGTGACTCTTGCACAGCTGACCTAGCTCGGGTCCAGAGTAATTGTCTAACTAAGTTACCCAACACATAGCGAACGCGTCAAGCACAAGTCATCAGGGAGATGACAGAGAACACACCCGAGCGAGGATGCCTTCGTACTCCTCCACGGTCTCATCCGGCAACTGCACGGCAGCCGTCTTGATCTTCTTCTTTTTCTTCTTCTCGTCTTCCTTGTCTTTGTCCGTTGCAAGGCCCCTTGCCTCCAAGTTTCCTGCGAGTCTCGCCTGGAGGACGTTTTTTACAAGGTGATCGGCACGAAGGACATCTCCAGTTTGTTCATCCTTCACCATCCAGTCAGCGAAGCGAGCGACGTGACCAGAAGTCTCGAAAACCGGTGCAGGTGTCATGATCGTGGTATCGAGCTCAAGCATGTGATCTTCTACGATGAAGTGTCGACGCCACTCGGCGATGATGTTGGCTTGAAGGGAAGAACCAGGGGGGCCGTAGTCATATAACCCAGCTACGCCTGGAACTGTGGATTAGTTGGGCAAAGGAGAGCGAGGTGATAGACATGCCTCCGTAGATCTCGAACGCAGGGGCGTAGAAAAATCGACGATTGAGGAGAGCCTCCAAGCGGCTCTTGTCGAACGGATGAGCAGTCCTGTTTACACTGGCCATGGCCGCAGTGTGGGCTAGGCGGACACCGATGTGGGTATGGGAGAGGGATATGGCAAGTCTGACTCGCCACATCTACACAATCTTGGGCAAAAGAGATAATTAATGCTGACGTAAGTACATGACACTACTGGGTATGGACTGCGACCTGCTCCCCCTCCTCCATGAATCTTCGCCGTTTCCTCTCCAAGTACCGCGACCTTGCATCCTGGATGTCGTGCTCTGAGTTTCTCTTCTGCGCCACTCTCTGCGTGGCTTCCTCTTCTGCCTTTGCTTTCTCCTTCACTAACCGTTCCCGTTCCTCTTCCATTTGGCGGAGAACCTCCCGTGCTCGTCGCTCGTTGACCTCTCTTCTACTTGCAACTGTGCCAACACCTCTGTGTGCGGACAGTGCGGATTCGTCTTGTCCCACTTTCCGCAGAGGCTGCTGTAGGCCCAGGCGTCGCGTGTTTGGTGCAGCGAGATTGAGGCCAGCCGAAAGGAGTTCACGCTTGTCAACAATCACGTTGTCGTCATTGAGTTCCACATCCTTGCCCTGTTCTTGTGCTATTCGTGCCAATTCAAGGTCAGACCTGGGTGTCATCTCGGGTGGTTTGGTGATCGTTAGGTTTGGACCTTGAGGACCGATGATTCGTTTTGGTGCAGACGCAGCTGCAACGGCCTCTTCATGTTGTTGCTCAGACTCTTCGAGTAGCTTGCGGTAAAAGTGAGCCATGCCAGTCGTTAGCCCTTTCTTTTGCTTCTTCTCGGCCTCTAAACTTGGTTTTCAGTCAAAGTAGAGCATGAGAGAGGTATAAAAATAGTACCTTCGCGTTGTCTTTCTTCTTCCTCAGCTTTCCGGACCTCTTCCATTTGATCCTTGTAAGCTTGCGTGACGAATGATTCCTTATCTGCAAATTCATCTCCTTCCATCTGCCGTTCGTGCTGCAACATCTTTTCCTCGGCTCTCAGGCGATCTAGTCTGCGAGTTGCAGCGGAAGTCAGCAATCCTTCGATATATTTCGGCTAAGCAGAGTACATGATGAAATGCCAATGGCAATCGAATTCATGGAATACACTCACTTTTACATCTGTGTTCTTGGTTTCCTTCTGTTTTTGTTTGACGTCCTGAATTATATCCCATACTTCGTCATATTGGTACGTCGTGGGGTCTAGTTTGAGCTCTTTCTCCATGCGCTTCTGCGCGGCCTTGGAGGACTCGACGTTCTGAGCAATCAACCTTTTGTTTGCAGAGACATTCTTGTTGTCGGTTGCGGTTGGCGCGGCGTCAACAGACACATCGTCGTCGAGGGATGCAAAGGGCTTGAGGGGTGGGGCTGTCCCGACGGGCTTCGCGCTCTTGTTGGTGAGGGTGAGGGAGAACTTCATGAAGGTAGCGGATTACGTAAGCAGGTCTGTTCCTTTCAACTTGCCCGATGGCACAGAGCACTTTCGACCGGAGACGCGTTAATGGACCTGAGGAATCGTTTTCGCCTGTATTCGACGACGAGGATGACGGTGAGCTTGGGTGGACGATAAAGCACAGTCGAGGATTGGCGGACATACGACCTATCTGTACGACATTGTTGTGCTGATCACCCGGCGTTGACGACTTCTTTGATCCAGTTTTACAGCCAGGACTGGTGAGTCAGGCAAATGGCTCTGCATACATCGAAACAGAGAAAACCAAGCTCGCATGCGCGGTGTTCGTGTGTCGTACTCTACAGCAGCTCCGTGGGGTTTACTTTGGCTTCGTTCCAGGTACGGACCGCGACAGTCAAAAACGACAACATATAGTGAAAGGGGTCGACTGAACGTGGAAGTCAAATTTGCGCCCTTCTCTTGTGTAAAAAGGAGATCCCCACTTCGCGTACGTGTCTGACGTGACTTTCTGACTCGCTGATTGATTGGCCTGTGAAGGATGCGGAAGACAGAGCTGTTGCCATCGCGGTTCATCAATCTATTGTTTCGTCCATATGTTTGGAACTCTTTCCGAAATCCACGATTGACGTCTTCGTCGTTGTTATAGAAAATGATGGGATTGAGGGTTGCATAGCTTCTGGGTCGATCGCGGCAAGCGCTGCTTTGGCTGATGCAGGTATCGAAATGCTGGGTCTCGTAGCATCCTGCTCTGCAGTGAGTTCGGCGATTGGGATGGTCATCGCAATGTCACTAA